CATCACCTTCACCATCACCATCACCATCACCATCACAATCATCATCATCGTCATCATCATCATCATCATCGTCATCATCATCAACATCATCATCACCTTCATCATCATCATCATCATCATCATCAACACCATCACCATCATCAGCATCATCACCGTCATCATCATCATCATCATCATCATCGTAACGATCATCATAACAGTACTAGTACTGATACTTAAACTCATACCAAAAAACTACTGATGATATTAATAAGAATACGGAGTTCTCTCCGCAGCATGTATCAGCTGACAGTGGAGGATGTAGGGGTTTAGGGTTTAGGGATTCTGGGTTTAGGGGCCTATGGAGTTTAGGGTTGGCTCTACATCACACAGCCCTAACCCTAAACCCTAAGCCCTACGCAAATTCCTAAAGGCCCACTCTAATTCGTCTCGAAGCAGCGATCCTTCCATAAGTCCGATTTGGCTCCCTGGCCACTCCCGATCCTAGAACATGTCGGATGTTTTAATGATTTCTTACTCGTCGTTTTTCAGTGTGTGTTGCTTTGTGAAACCAAGGGTCTGATTCGGTTTCTCCTTTCTAGTGTGTCGTAGGGACGTAGGGTTTAGGGTATTAGGGTGAAGGGTAGGTTCGAGGAGTTCGGATCTCAGAGTTCAGGGCTTCGAGGTTTGGGGGGCCCCAAAAGGATCTAAAAAAATAGATCCCTTAATTAGGGACCCTAACTACTAAAGGGCACTTTATAGGAACCCCCTTAGGGGATCTATTTTTAGATCCTTTTGGGGGTCTGGGAACCTGGTCCATGAAGGTTGCCCCTCTCGCACGGCGACCATCAGGTCTTTGGAGCGGGGAATGTGTTGTGCTAGTTTCGTTCTGAGCAAATAAGGTCGTTCTTCCTGCGATGCACGCTGAGAGCGCTTAAGCTAATATAGGGGCCTTCATAATTAGAATAGGGTTTTGGGGTCCCCCTTATAGTATTGAGGCCCCTATATTATGGTCCTTTATCGCAGGAACGTCTGGCATACTGCGCCATTTCCACGGATTTGAGAGCCCGACTTGTTGGGGTTGTTTTTAGATTTTTCCAGCATCATAACCCCAACTGGGGTCCTTTCTAGGGTACTTGTAAAACTCTTGAAAAGTGCCTACTTGCTCAGTCCCCCGACCCTCCAAGTAGGTCAGAACAGAGTTTTGGGGCTGGTTCGAGTGTAAGGACGGCACAGGGACTACGAGGCATCTGTTCATGCTCCCTTCCGCATTTCTGCCACTCCGAGTCGTAAGGTAGGGTTTAGGGTGTACCTATAGTCTCCCTAAACCCTAGAACCCTAGGTACTAAGTCCCATGAACCTTAAACCCTAAACCCTAGAACCATAGTTCCTAAGTCCCATGAACCCTAAATCCTAAACCCTAGAACCGTAGTTACTAAGTCCCATGAACCTCCAAGTGGGTAGTTGTCAAAATTATGGTCCCTTTTGGGTACCCTAAATAATAGGTGCCGTATTATAATAAGGACCCAAGAAGGGACCATAATTTTGACAACCACCCAAGTAAGCATCAACCAGGCATCATGTAGTCGATGGGGTTTGGAAACTCGAAGACGACCCCACTCGGCGAGGTGTAGGTGATCCTCGGACCGGGCTTCCTCTTCAGGGTTTGGAGTTTAGGGTTTAGGGTTTAGAGTTTAGAGTTTAGAGTTTAGGGTTTAGGGTTTAGGGCAACAGGGCCGCTTATGTTCTGTCGTGTTGGCTTCCCAGCCTCCTCCAACCTCAAGTAGAATAAGGTTTTGGGATATATTCCATTATAATCATAATAAGGAACGCCCCAGAATAGTATTGGTACTTATTTCGGCCCCTAGGTTAACCCTGCGAAGTTCACCTTTAGGAGTTTAGTTTACGGGGAAGTTGCAGTGGCAGTCCCCTAGCTCAGTTTACTGCAAGGCCAGAACTGGGAAGGCCGGCGCACGAAGCCGAGGAGTTCAACGTGTAGGCAGGGTCTTTGATAAAAGATATCCGGCACAGCTCCGGTAACCACACTTAGGTCCTTGACATATGAACATATGTGGACCATAATAGATAGAACTGGGTTCGGGGGTACCCGTAAACCTTAACCCCCCAAACTCTGAACCCTGGACTCTAAAACCCCAAATCCTAGCAGGTGCTCATCGATGCGCCTCCTACCTGGGACGACCGCTCCTGAACCAAAAGTGCGGGCCTCAATGTTTAGAATGATTGGTTATGTTTCTTTGCTGAAATATTCTGCTTTGACTATATGTAAGGATTGCAAGGGGTTATGATTCTTCTAAAAGTTTCTTCGACAGCGATTCTAGGCTTTCAGCCCAGCGTCGGGTTGTACTGATCAGCCATCGCATCGAGCTCATCGGAAAATTTGTCCAACCTCTTCAACCAGGCATGCGGAGGAGACAGTGTCCAGATTCAGTAACCATCATGTGGATGGCTGTACCGTACGGATGTGTGCCATGATGATTCAGTATTATCAGAAGGGAGCGTGGCAAATCTCAATTCCCAATCGTACTGTGGATGGACAAAATTCTGCATGACCCAAATATAGTATAGTATCATAAATCCCATAGTTTAGGTACATAAGGTCATGCAGGATTTTGTCCATCAGCCGTATCTTTGCTCCTTAAGTGCATGCACATACCGAGTATTCACCCACAGCCATCGAGGAGAGGACCTTGGGGCAAACACAACTACTGGGCTTGCAGGAACCATCCTCGAGGGTTTAGGGTTCTAGGGTTTAGGGTTTAAGGGTTTAGGGTTTTGGGTTTAAGGGTTTAGGGTGATCTCCTGGAGCTTGAAAATAATGGCAACCCTTATGCAGATTCAGGCAGAGTCCACATCCACATCTCGAGGCAGGAAACCGATACGACAGTCCTCCACAGACTAGACCCCACCTGCAGCCCCCGAACCGGATTTTGCATCGGGTGACAGAGGCAGGCCGTGATACCTCGAAGGCTGCGCTTGGCACGTCAAGTGTACCCCCTGTGAATATGGACATCGACTCTGAATAGTACCCTGACAAGGACCCTCATTACAAGGGCGCTTAACCCAGCAAAGTGCCTTTTGAAACCCCTGTACCCCGCATAGTACCACTTGAAGTACCCTTCATTATAGTAACGCAAATAAGTATAGTCGGCGTTAAATAAACTACTGAGGTGCCTCAGATACACTTAAGCAGTTTGGGGTTTAGGGATTAGCCTGAACCCTAAACCCCCAACCCCAAAAGCGTGGGGTCATATCCTGGTATTTTGTAGGGTTCGGGTTTGGGGTTTTAAGATGCTCTTCGCCCCAAACTCTAAACACCAAACCCACACTCAAAAACCCTGAAACCTGAAATACTGGAACCCCAAACTCGTATAGAACCCTACGAGACTCTTCAAGGAACTGTTACAGCGCCGTCCCCCCAAGCCTCCTCTGGAAGTCTTCAATGGGGCCATCCGCCCGAGCACTTCTTGAACTTCCTCTGGGCTGCTGCTTGAGGGTTTAGGGTTCAGGGTTCAGGGTTTAGGGTTTAGGGTTTAGGGTTTAGGGTTTAGGGTTGAGCTGTAGAGTTTAGGTCTCTGCATAAGTTTTCGGCTATTTGGGGATTTATAAATTATAAAGTTGAAGATTTCCATTCGGCTTCCAGTGTCGAGGGGTTGAGGTTTAGGGTTTAGGGTTTAGGGTTTAGGGCTTAGTGCTTAGGGTTTAGGGTTCAGGGTTTAAGGGTTAGGGTAGGAACACCCGAACTTTGTGATGAAGGGTGCAAAGGTCGCAGGGCTTCGGACAGGACTGCGGATGAATGCCTATACCCTACAGTAAACCCTGTAAACCCCATAAACCCGATACTAACCCTAAACCCTAAACCCTATAAACCCTACACTATACCCTAAACCCTATAAGCCCTATAAACCCAAAACTATACCCTGAACCCTAAACCCTAAAGCCTGAGCCCTAATCCCTGAACCCTACGGTTTTAGGGTTTTGGATCTGCAAGAACGGCTCTTGATGGAGTCTGTGGGTCCTGCGTGGAGTTAAAGGGACTAAAGGTCGGGAGTTTAGGCTATATAGGGCTTCTATAAGGCTTCGGTTTAGGGTTTAGAGTTTAGGGTTTAGGGTTTAGGGTTTAGGGCATAAGGTAGATAGACCTTCTATAAAGCTCCTATAACGGTAACTACCCACCTGAAAATGAGCTAGATAGAGATTGCTCAACCCCAAAAGCTAACCCCTCACCTTCCTGCCCCAGAGGGTCCAAAGTACCTATTAGTAGGATGTACGGTTTAGGGCTTGGGGCTTCGGGTTTAGGGTTTAGGAATGACTATTTTGATTTGGGGAAGTATGCCAATTAGCAGTACCTAGGACCATTTCGGGTTCATCATGATGACTCTCAGTAGGACTATTACTCCCCGATCTTCCGGTGTGACGCTTGGAGCACACGGATCTTGAGCTGTTGATACTGGGGGCTTCCCGTGGGCTCCCAAACAAAGTCTAAACCCAAAACCTGAACTGAGCCGAAGCCATGCTGCCAAGGATGTGCGCGGCCAGCGCGGCCGTCGCAGCTGCCGAGCGCCGCGTCACCGCGGACGGCACCGAAGCCCAGCTCATCTGGTTACAGTTTAGGGCTTTTTTGTTTGAGGGTTTAGGGTTTTTGGGTTTAAGCGACTATAGGCTTCGCGGGTTTATCGCGCACTCTGTCTACCCCTAAGCCTTAACCCGGATTCATAGAGCGTGATGGGCCTACCTTTAAGGCTTACGTCAGTTGAGGGTTTCAGGTTTGAGGCCTGATGTGGGGTTTAGTCCTTAGGACCGCTACGAACCCCTTCTGCCATGCATGCGAGGCGCTTGGGACACCACTACCAGCAAGCCTACTGCCAGACCATTCCGCCGCCATCGACGCTCCATGGCGGACAATGGCCCCAAGCCCAAAACCGTTATCCTAAGCCTGCAAGTCTTTAACCCTATGGAAGAAAACGAGGAATCTCCGCTTCGTAGTCGCAGCATGCGACATGCTCGAATGGGGGACTTGCTGTAGTTGCATGCTGATGAGTGCGGAGTAAACCTGTTTGCACAAATTGATTTGCTTGAAATTGTCTAAGTGTATACATACGCATTTGTACTATTCACGAGAGCTTTCTGCCTTACTTTCTGCCATACCCGGAACTTCCAGTAACCTGTTGTCTGGGGGTTGGGGGTCCCAGCGACCTAACCATTATATGCCCTTGGAAGCCCATCCCCAATCCTAAACCCCGAACTCTGCCTAGACCTCTCCACTGTAGCCCAAGCACGCTCTGTTAAGGACCATAGCAGCTTAATTCAAGGGTACATGCGCGTTCCTGATGAAGCCTGCAGCCGTGCATAGGGCCGGAGCATGAAGCTGGAATCTGGTGGCTGTGACAGTCCGTGGGAAGCAAGCTGCCAATGGTGTTAGTATAGGCTGTAGTCAGTAGCGCACAATTAGGACAGGATGTTGCAGCTTTGTATGGAGTTTTTTGTATTTGTAGAAGGACTGTAAGGGCATACGATTATCAAGTATACCGACCCCTATGTCAAGCAGATTTCGGGAAGTGTGGGGTTCAGGGAAACAGTGTATCGTTCAGGCGTGCGTTTACGGTTTATAGGTGGAGCTTAGTGTTCAAGTTCAGGTGTTTCGGGGACTAACACCCCTCTACAGGCTCTCCTAGGACATTTTCGGAAGCCTTGCAGAAAAGACGGTTGTTGGGACCCAGAAGGTGTTTGAACTGGGCTATGTCGTGCTTCGGTGAGAAAAAAGCAAAGCAAGTGGGGAGGGCCTTGCCTTTTCAAACTTGTCGGGTTACGAGGACTTTGACCCTAAACCCTAAACCCTAAACCCTAAAGCCTAAACCTTAAACCCTAAAGAAATTGGGACTGAAACTAATGACTTGGAGTCCCAAGCAGGGACTTTCATAGGTCCTTGCATGTCGGGAAGGCACTCTACGTGGCTTCTATGCTTCAGGGGTCAAGTCGAGGATCTTCGGCTGTTTCAAAACCCAAGCTTTCGCATACCAGGGCAGTTTCGTACATGATACGGCTGATGGACAAAATCCTGCATGACCTTATATACCTAAACTATGGGATTTATGGTACTGTACTATATTTGGGTCATGCAGAATTTTGTCCATCAACAGTATGAACTAAAACCCTGACCCTAATCCACTACATCGAACTACTGATGTATCAGGTTTCGATTGTAGCGGCCAGAGGCTGAGACCCTGAAACCGGCTGCAATGTAGAAGCCTGAATGCCTTATGGCTCCTGATTAGAATCGAGCGGCTTAGAGCTTAGGGTTTGGGCTACTGAGAACCATACTATAGTAATCTGCCTCAAAACAGAAAGTCATGTCCAAATCTCACCATTGCAGCTGAAGTCATGAAGCACCCCAAAAACACTTGAGCATTTACAATGCGAAACGGAGGCAACCGCCGACCACACGAAAGCTAAACCCTAACCGCCCCCCCCTTCCCGGATTCCTTCAGGTGCCGCTGTTGCGGAATCCTCGAGCTCGCCAGGCTATGGCGATTTTCGACGGCGTTGATGATTAGAGCAAGGAGCCCAAAGGAATTACTCAGGCTTCTGTATATAGGTTCGTGGCGCTTAAGGTTACCCAGGGCCTCGCTTCCGCTCTAACAGGCCGTTGTTTGGTTAGCAAATATTTTTCTTGTTTTTGGGGGGCTGAAGTTTGGGCGTCATGCAGTCTTGGATTTGGGTAGTTCTCTAAATTAGGGTCCCATTTTAGGTCCCCAATATAGTACGGCACCCTTGTAAAATGGACCCTAAACGGCACCCTTCGGTAGTTAAGAGAACTCCACATTTTGGGGTGTTGGGACCAGGGGGGGAGTTTGGTGTTTGAGAGTTCTGCCAGCTGCGGGATCCCGAAGCCCTACCCATAGTCTCCATTGTAGTTCCTTTTTTTGGTTTAACCACTTATATATGAAGGATTTTATAAGGTGTCGCCAAAAAGGTTTAGGGTTTAGGTACGTGCTACAACTGGAAGGCCGCAAACCCTAATTCCCATGCAATGAAACCCTAAGACCCTGAACCTAACCCCCCAAAACCCAGACCCTAAACCCTAAACCCTAGACCTTAAACCCTATGTATACGGGCTTCAAGGCGAGCTGCGAAGACAGTTCCGAGGCTTCTTCGCTTGACTGGACATGGGGCTAACATAGGCCTTTCACTATTGGCGTAATTGTGGGATCTGAATGACAATGTTGAGGATTGAAATCTGCTGACATGCTGGCCTTAATAATAATTAGATCCGGGTGTTGGGGCAGATTGTCACATACTTGCAGTAGAAACCTCGAAGGAATGGCATTTCTAGACATCCAAGCTTGCAGAGAAGCCCCTTGCATGCGAACAGCATAGCGAACCTCCGTCTGCGACTGGGAACCGCCCATGGCTCACACACACGTCAGCGATAGGTGAGCTGGCAAAAAGAGGAGAAGGAAAAGGATCTCGGAGCCCTAAGCCCTAGGCAATGACCGTTTCTATGGAGCTGGCCTTAACCTTCCCACTGAGTGCGCATGGTCCGCTACGCGGCGAAGCTCTTGGAGCCAACAAGCCATCGCCAACCTGAAAGGCAAAGGGCTTCGAGAGAATTCTAGGACTTAGAAAGCTTTCATTTTGCTTGGCATGACGACGCTTCTTGCAGCAGCGCCAAGAAACGGCTTTTGACGGCATCCGAACCTTCGACCAGTCATGATCAGCAGTTCCCATGACAGATCGTAAACTAAACTATACTGTACTATACTTTATGTCATACCATATAACAGAACATGCTGTAAGTTCCCCTGAGGCTTCATTTCAGGAAGATGCGTCCTGGATGCTAGCTGCACTGACCTGGGTGCGGTTTTCTTCCCGACAAGCACACACACCATATATATATATATATATACATATCTATATATATATACACACGTACATACATACGTACATACATACATACATACATACATACATACATATATACAACATTGGTTATACACACATCACACATAAGATGATACCAAATGTCATGATGCCATACCACATAGTAAAAATATTATCATACAATAAAACATACTAATATAACACACTACAATATACGAATTCGTAGCGAACATGGCACAATACCGTATACTGCAGTATCATGAAATATCGCACAATTTCAGACACTGTAATATCATAACACAGTATCATGTAATGCGATATCATACAATACATAAGTGTAACCTGACTTAACATCACATAACATAAGAACACACTAGCTCAGTATAATGCCAGGTGGTATGATATAGCACCATGTACAATAACATCCTGGTATGACACAATTGATACAGTATAAAGCTATAAAGTACCATTATGTTATAGTGTGCTATACGACGCTATTGCACAATACTGTACTCTTCTCTACAATACTATACTTTCTTTTCCCCACTATAGAATAACATGTTATATGATGCAGAACATGGGCTTTTGCAACTGGAGCAGGTTTTGGAGTAAGTATCTTATGTGTATGTATATATATATATGTATATATATATATATATGCTCGCCCCCCCCCCCATGATCTACCATCGGTGGTTCTGGGGAGTGGGGAGAACACGCACAGTAGTGTAACTGAAACTGTTCCA